AAATCTCTTAGAAGATTCTCTATTTAAACTCTCTGGCCCTATCTCACTTATCGCAAATATTACTCTTTATAGTTAACCATAAACCCCATGCTACTTCACTTTGGAAGGCATCCAAGCTGACATTAGTTGTAAACTTTATTGTTATGAGCCTAGATCTTACCTGTATAAGTCCAACTTCAACGTCCTCTAACAAATAAGTGTTACAAACCCAACTATACTATGCTATATTCCAATCTAGCTTGCATATACCCTTATTCGATATTCGTACAAATCTAGTTTCAGCTGTTCCCTCTACCAGTTTAAACTTCAAAATATTTCATGAAGTAGATCCTCCCAATCTAGTTAGCTGCTAAGCCAAGTTGGTGTAGCTACTAAATGCAAGGCACTAGGCTACATTACACCGTGAACTTACTCATACCTACTCAATTCGTACTCAGAAATCCTTACTAGATCAAGCGTTAACTGGCGTGACCATTGAAATCTGTACTACTTCACCTAACTCAGGATTTCTACCATACAGATCCTCTGCTCATAGATTCTATCTTGGTTTATTCGTGTAATACAACTCTAACATTCTGTCACACTTCCAATATCTGAACAACATTGGTGCAACATGATTTACAGAGTTACAACTCAGAAACGGACAGAGTTTACTATAAGTTAGGTACAGATGTCTAGGTAATTATTTAATTCTGTCGACAGTAGAATTTGAATCCTAGACCTCTTGCATGATGGTCTGACAACCTATTCACTACACTAGATCGCTGGACCTAAAGGCCTATATTTATAATCTTTGGTTGCTAAAGATTAGTAATCCGTGTTGGTATTCATGGTGTTTGAGTAGACCAATAGTTATTTTTAGCTACAGTGTTTGTAGTATTAAAGGTGGTATTCGCGGTGCTCTTTGCGTAATGTTAAGGTGATGTGTATTACTAATTATTGATTAATAATACCTAGAAAATTCTAAAAGGTTCTAAAACATTCTGTAAGATTCTGGAAGTTGCTACATGATTTCAAGATATTCCAGGACATTTTAAAACATTCCATAACATTCTAGACTATTCTACAATTTTCTGTGTAATATAACTAAAAACTATGACTAATCGTTATACAAAACTATTACTAATAAAACTATACTAAAATACTATACTAAACAAATAATAAAACTCATCCATACTGCCATCAGCGCTCTGTATGGGTAACAAATACAAAAACTAAACAAAATAAATAAAAACTATAACAAATATACTATAAAAATACTAAATCAAATAATAAAACTAAAAATAAAATAAAAGAAAAATAAAGAAATAGAAAATTATAGGCGTAACAATAATAATTATATCGCCAACTTTTGTGTCTACTTTCCTATACATGAATTTCTGTAAAATGATCCTAAATTAGATTTTTTGGTCATCCTCTTTATTTTTTTTGGTTGTAAGAGTATTATCTATATCTTCTGCATTAAATCTAATGTATTGGTACTAGGTCCAGAATCCTCTACTATTTTTAATAACTATCACTTATAAAAAAACTATAGTCTATATATAAAAAACTATTAACTATCACTTATTAATATAAATAAAAACTATCTATATACAACACTTTAAAAACCAGTAATGTTTAGTTTGAAAATACAAGATTCGTCAAAGCTAAGTAGGATTTATTAAAAAAATATATTTTGACAATATTATAATTATGGCTTATGTAGACTCTGTAGTAAGGATAAGAATCAAATCTCTGATAAATGTTTTAAATGTTAATCAGTTCTCATTTTTATGTAATCATTATAATCATTGCTAGAAACGATTACATATTTTTGAATCAATTCTTGAATTAGAATTGATTCTAAGCTTATAATCGTTTTAATTATAATAAACTTTTGTTTATTTTCAAATTTTATTATTTTAAAAATAGCTCTTTTTTTTAAACTTTATGAATCATTTAGCCCAGCCTTTAGTTTGTACTTAACCACCTATTTCACAAGTTACTGTAAATATTTAAGATTGTTATCATTATGCTTAATTTTCTTAATGGCTAGATGTTTATTAAATATAAGGCTATTGTTTTATTAAATTTTAAGCCTATAATTTATGCCCAGCCATATTATAGTAGCTAAGTTTATTTTTAATTTTTAAGACCGTTTCTTAATTTTTACACGAATAAACAAATATTATTGCTTAAATAATAAGAATTTTGCTAACTATAACCGGGCTCACCTTACTGTAGCGTATTTGTCTTAAATTTAATTATATAAAACATACTGTCTATGTTTTTCTAGACAGCCGATATTATTATAGACAACCGATAATATTATAGACAGTTGATATTATTTCAGACAGTTGATAATATTATAGACAGTCGATATTATTTTAGACAGCCGATAATATTTTAGATGAAATTATTTTAGACAGTCGAAATTATTTTAGACAGTCGATATTATTATCGACACATGCCATTTTGAAACACCATGGCGAAAATTTCGCCATTCCGCCTGTCGAAAATCTAGACACCCATGTATAGATATAGGACAAATTCGCAATTATCACAAAACACAGAGAACAAATTTATTTGATTGATGCAAACTTTGAAAATCATACTTGAAGTGATCGCCAAGGGGACCAATATGATTTTATTAGCAAGAATTCAACTGTAATCTAACTATACATTCATCTTTAATACCATATAAAAAAAAAAGAGAAATCACTTGATCAATTATATGTTTTATTTGGGGTTATGGCAGTTGGACGTAACCACGTTGAATAATTTGTTTGAAGAGGAGTAGTGCAACTTCGATCACCTAATATATCTACCGCGTTATCCTATTAATTAGAATGTATTATACAACCCTTAAAATATCAAAAAAAAATAAAAATAAAAAAAGATAAAATAAATAAAAAACTAACCCGGATAGACATTAAAATTTGATATAATTTCATTATTGACTCTGGGTTCCTAACGGTTTTTGGAATAATTAACGAATCTACTTCTGCCAATATATATATACCTGGTGACAAAAGGTCTAAGATGCATACACTCATTTTAAATCCGACGATGAAAATGATGATTCGCTTTGCTTCATCCGGACATATTTCGTTTTGTTTTATATCCTGGTCTATTTCGTCTTTTGCGTTTATTGCTCCTCGATAGATATCCCAATATATTTTTGACTCATCATTTTTACGTTTGGGGCTCGTTACCTCAGCAAGTACACCCGTGCGTGTACCATCTTTATTATTTAATTTATAGTCAGGGCATCGGCCGTACCCTCGGCGTAATTTGGAAGCTTTTGATTCTACATCTATCCTATAAAAACAAGTAATTTGTGAATTAGTTTACTTTTAAAAAATTGTAGAAATTATATCATATCGCAAGATTAAAATGTGTGACAGGTTGATCGACAAAATTAAGAGTGTTTTTTGTTCTACTTCAAAATTTCACTTATGTAACCGTTTTTTGTGCTCTAATAAAAAAAATTTCTCTCATAATTTTGGTATAAAGTCTATTTAAATTCCTCTTCTAACCTTAACTCGGCCCAAACCTAACTCTAATTTCGAAATTTGCTTAATGCAGGCCAATGTCGATTAATCAGCCCGAATTAAGACCATAACCTGTCACACATTTTAGTCTTGCTATCATATCATACCATGAATGTGATGTAGTATAATTAAAATAATGAACTGTTTTATTAAATAATGGCGCAATGAAATCCGTCACAAATGTTCCTTCCGTTAATTCATCTACATTAGTAGAGAACTCCCATAAGATGCATTCTTCTAATAGTTTAAAAAATGCCCTCGTTAAGAGATCTCCAGATAAAGCTGTGGAATTTTGTCTAAGGGACCTTTCGATTGTTTCCAGGCTATCTTGTTGAAAACTCTAATAATTAATAAAATATATAATAAGATACAATATACGATATAGATATGTGAAATTTAATTCACAAACCTTCTTTCGTTCTTTCACAAATTCAATTATTTCCTCTGGAATTGCAAGTTTTTTGAACTTTGATTTAACACGTGACCAAATTGCTAACAATTCATCTGATGCTAAAAAATCACCATAACTTTGTTCGTTTTTTTGTTGAAAATAAAAAATGGATGATGCACCAAGTATATTATGAATATTTTGCTTAGACGGATAACCAATTCCATTAGACAATTGTTGAAGAGTATGTTGTTGCCATTTAAGTAACTTGATATCCAAACCTTCACTGCTTTTAATAGTTTCCGAAATCATCTCTTGCAAAGATAATAATTGAGAGGATTCGAAAGATAACGGGAATCCTTTCTGCATGTAATATACATTATAAGCTCGTTCTTTGTTATATATCACTTAAAAATTTTCATACCTCATCATATTCATCCTCAATATTTTGTTCTACGTACGGTAGTCTTTGCTGAATGAATGACGTTAGTTAATTGCAACGTTCGTGAATACAAATATAGAAAATTTAAACCATTATTTCATTACCTTTTTTGCTTGTATATTCTTTTGGTCCAGGGCATTACTAATTACTTTTCTCTTCGAAACAATTCCTTGAACATTTCCAGAAACGGTTGAATTATTAATGCTAATTGAGGGGTTACCACTCATACGCCCACTATTCAAGTTCCGTACTTTTTGACGATCGGGCCGATTATTCTAAACAAGAAACTTGGCTGGTTAACAATATTCTTAATTAATCCTCCACGTTACATTTATTTCATTTATATCCCACCGGGTCAGCCTTTAGCCTTGAACGTAAGACAACCCTCTAGATTGCCCCCGCCCCAGTGGGGTTAATGCTAGGTCGACCTCTAGTCTTGAACGTAAGACAACCCTCTAGATTGCCCCCGCCCTAACACTAACTTCGTAGCTCGCCCTCTAGACTTGAATGTACGAAACCCTCTAGATCTCGCACACGCTACCAAACTTTTTCTCTCTATATATTTTTTAACCAAGAAAAGTACATTCACCTCTCTATATTTTAGAAGCAACTCCTTTGCTCGTTTACTCCTTTGTCCTTCTTCATTATCGGCGATGGTCTCAAGGGATCTAAGGTAAATACCTAATTTTTCACTTAAGTCATCTTTATCTTCATATTCCTCTAAAAAATCTTTTACATTCCACCTAGAGCAACTTCGATTAAAATATTCAGGTATCTATTTTTTATAAATCAATGAAAAGTTTAATGTTTGACCCGTAATAAATTGTTCATGTCATATTCGACTTACAATAAACTTGGACATAGTTATTCGAAAGAAAAGCGTACGCGTCTTGATTACAAGTCACAGCTTCTTTACCGTAATTTTCCATGCAAGGTACGCGAAGCATAATGGAAATTGATTTTTATTGGTTGTCTATTTTCTATTGATAAGTATTGTTACAATAGAAAATTTAATTCAAATTTTTTTATAATTAAGATCACCTAAAATTTTGCCAGATTGTTATAAACATTTGAGATCAAGTGAGATCAAGTGTTCCACCAACTTTTACTAGAAGCGATTCTGACAATGCCAGTATGTAACACAAAGGTATTACATTAAATTTTTGGTTTAAAAAGTTTTGAGGGTATCGCCGAAATAACGTGAAATTAATCTTTAGCTTTAACCAATCAAAATTTGTTATTTATAAATTGTCGATCGTCACGTTACACCTGATCTTTGATCTCTGATTGGCCAAAATCGAAACTTTGGAGGGAAATTAAATAGGTTAAAAAATCTAAACTACTCTAATATGTATTTTAGTCAGTTTAGGAAGTATTTAAATTAGCCCGTTGTTTCTGTTCAACGGTTATGAGTAATGCAATAACCACTTTAAAATTTTAAAATGTATCGGAAACAAGTAGTAGGTTTCGCTGCTGCAAGGACAGTACAAGAATCTTGCATCAAAAATGAAAAATTAAGTTATTAATGAAAAAAAATTCTTCATTAAATTACTGTATATAGAACGTAAAAAGATTTGTTACATTATGCCTTTAAGAAAATTACTGAACGTGTTTATTCTTGGGTGATTATCAAGATTGTTTGTCGAAAATAAGTCAAATCTAGTTAATAGTTATTGGAAGATATTGTGAAACGTGAAAGTTACTCCGGAAGGCACGTGAGGGTCGGAGGTCAGGGTGCTGCAGTATCTGCATACGGTGTAAAGGGGGAAATTACCACCTCGGGTAATACTGCGGCTCTAGACGTAGTACGAATTCTGAAAATTCTGAAAATCCCAAGAATTCATGGAATAATTAGTATTATAGGGATCGTCAAAATTCTCAAAATAGATAATATTATGTAAATCGTTATAGTTACCCGAATTATTGGTAAAATAGCAATAGTAGTGATGATTAGTATAGTTGGTATTGTAACTATTGTTTGGGAGAGCGATGTACTTTTATAATTAAAGTTTATAAATTAAGGGCCGATTTAACCCCAATAGTTTACGGATAGAAGGAAAATTATTAATCTTTATAAATGTGGGGGAAGTATAATCAATCTCTTTTAATGATATCAAGGGCGAGAAAAATATATTTGATCTATCACTATTAATCTTTAAATTTTTCTTTTGAGGTCGTCTTTCGGACTAATCAGGTGACTTTCCGGCGATCAATTAAATCAGGACCCGAGTCTTAATAATCCAATTCGAATTTACAAGTCAATTCGGTTCGCTGAATTGAGTCTCGATTGAATAATTAAATTTAAAGTCGGGTTCAATGGAAACAGTTTATAACTTTGATAAAATTCAGATATATTTTATTTTACTTAAGTAATTATTAGGGAATATTAAGACATATGGAACATGCCGTTACTTTATTAAAATCGCGCTGCTTAAATACATTTTGATTCTATAGGTTGCTTTCGCTCTAATTCTAACGAGTACGCTAATTTCTTACAGATAACTTTGTTTATTCGGTGCTTTCGTGATTTCCCCAACGCCCACGTCTTAGATTTTACGTATACGTTCAAATTTCAGCGTATACGCGAATTACCTGATCTGCAACTAGTTAAGCCACCGAATCAATATATTCCCTTTTTTGTATAACCCTTTGACTTCACAAAATTAAATATTTGGATATAAACGTCCATAAATCAAATAACTAAAAAAGAAATATTTACAATTTTTAATAATAAAAATAAAATAAAATAAAATAAAAATAATCAACAATAAAGGAAATTTATTCGAGCTAAATTATATTTATTACAGTATCGACAGTATTCTTATTATTATTATTTTTATTTCACATATGTAAAGAAAGTATATATAGAGTGAAAATTCTTCTTTAATAAAATCAACTCTTAGAGTTCAAAAAATAAAAACCTTCTAAGATTGAATAGTCTTGAAAAGAAGTATTTGTTTGTCTCTAAATCTGTTTCCTTTTAATTATTATAAATTATTTTTCTTGAATTGTTAAATTTTCTGTCTTGTCCATATAATATTTTCTTGCAAAATCAAGTTTCTAGTTAGAGTAAAAGAACCTAAATTATTTTTCATATATTCTTTTATAGTCCTTAAACTGATCAAATAATTGATTAGTTTGCAATTGTTACGTAAATTTAACTCATAATAATTTTATATTCCCATGATACCCAAATCACAATTAAATTCATAACCAAATCATGACTTTCAATAAACATGACCAAGAAAATCTATAAACCCAACCCCAATAATCTAAATACCTACTCAAGTAACACTAACCTTAGACCAAGTTAATCCTCACTTCTTTCAAGACTTATTCAATCTAGGGTTCCTTCTTGATTGGATTTTTGGATTATCTAAGTTTATTTGAATAGATTAGTAAACCCGAAGCTCTGTGTAACCAAACTTCTGAACAAGTTCTAATCTAGAATCAATTTTCACTTTTTTAATATACAGCAAAAAATGAGATATAGTATAGTACAGATAGATGAGCAAAATGAAGTAGTATGTAGTTATAAAGGTAGAATTAAAAACTGGTTCTCATCAACTCGAGTGGAGCTAGCAGCATATTTAATGACAATATTAATAGCACCAAATGAATGCAGTATAGAAATACGTACAGATAGCATATATGCAATATCAGCAATAACAGAAAGCCTGAAGAATGAAAGTACATGACGCGGCTTAAAACCAAAAACAATAGCCTTTTGCGAGCAATAGTCAAAGCTTGCAGAAGCAAGAAAATACAACTAGAGTTG